ATGCTTGAACGTATCGCGGAGGCGATAAAACGGAAGCTGTAGAGGGTCTTATGAAACTTAGGCGCGGTACAGATTTGGGGTAAGTCCTTGTTTTCATCGTCTAATTGAAGCAGGAACCTCTGGAGGAACATGTTCTAAAACACTATGAACATGTTCTAAAACCCTAGCCCACAAGCATCGTTTGGTCTGGCCAATGTACTGTAGCCCACCCTCTTGCATGTAACACAGTATATGATACCGCATGTGGAATAGGTAGGAGGGCGGCGAGGTGAGGTGTACGTAGCAACAAAGCGTTTCCCAGAAGTAAAACTGCGAACATGTTGAGATTCTGAGATGAAAGCGCAGCATCTACAGTTACGTACACAAAACACCCTGCAACGTAGAGAGTAGGCAGGATGGAAGGAAATGTCGTAGGAATTGTCGGAACAGGCCACACAGTAAGTAGTAGGAACGGTGCGGAAGCCCACGCCTGTAGCCATTAGGCGCGCCGACGACGCAGGCGTTGGCTCATCCGTAGGCGGCCAACTGCCTGAAGCCGAAAGGCTCGAACCGGACGCAGGCAGTCGCCCATCCGCTCGGTCTGTGGCACCCCAAGAGGTGCGAGAAACCACGAAGTACCAAGTTCCTCTGTGGTGAGTAGCGAGATTTGCAACGGGTGTTCCCGACATATACGCAGAAGGCGGTGTGGCAGATAGGAACATGAGCAAGGGGAGTAAGAAGCCAGGAGCCTGCCGCTCCAGATGATGAAGTGCCCCCTGGAAGTGGTGCTGAAAAGCAAGACGTAAGGCACGTCAATACGTACGCATGGTGTAAGGAATACCGGGTTGTGCTGGTACGTTCGGCAATAGGATCAAAACAAATAATAGAATTAATTTCCTGGGAGACCGACGGCGAGGTCATACTCATAGGCAAAATAAGGAAGATGCACGAAATATGAGTACAAAACCGTCCTGTGCCTGACAACCACGTCGCTGTAACACGGTGAACTAGTACGACTTTTGAACAAACGGCATTATTTTGTAAATATGCAGTTCTAATTATAAAACTATGTCTTTTTTTCCTTTTTTTTATCCTATGACTCACGAATGCCAATTGCATTCCTGTGTTTTTACAGTTTTCCACAATTATATCTTACCCTTTTTTCATACCCACAAAAACCATTTCATTTTCCATTTATCATCTTTCTTATCTTCTTTTGGCCCCTTACCCTCATTCCCTTTTCCTTTATCATCCTCTTTTATCTTCCATTTCCCCAAATTCCTAACTCCCTCCAAATTATTACATCATCCCATGGGATGGGCCCCAACTCCCTTTATAAACCTTTTCACCTTTCTTCTTGGTCTCAGTTCTCCTCACCAGCATCGGCTTCAGTCTTCCAGGATCAAATCAACCCCGGCACGCCAGCTACACTCTCGCCGACCCTATCTGCGAACACGGCAGAAACTCCGCTTCCTTCTTCTTGAAAGGATTACTCCGCCTCGGAACCCCGTTATCCAATTCCCTGCTCAGCAGGCCAAACTGTTCGTCAGAGCCCAGACCCCACGTTCTGTGTATTATTGCTATTGCCTACGCTGCAGTAAATAAGACATAAAGTTTATCATTTATCTAATTGGCCCTTCAGTCTACGCACCACGTCACGCAGCGATCCGCACACGTAAAACAATCCCATCTCATAAAATTTTTACTATTTAAAAAACAAAAAAAGGGGGAAAGAAGGGAAATAGGCCGCCGCTTTGCACGTTGACTGATGAATGATTGGGACGGTGGGCCATGGGGCATGCCATGGCAAAACCT